GAAGAAATGGGGTCAAATTGAAAATTTTAAAATATATAAAATTCGAATTTGGCCCTAATGACCGGAAGTTAACCTAGAAACGGGCTAATGGCTCATTAGTGAAAGGATTGTGTAAGTTCAGAGATTTTTGTGAAAGGATTTGAAGTTCAGGTACCACTTCGAAATTCCAGCTAAAGTTCAGGTACCATTGGTGAAATTTACCCTATGAAATATTTAAAAATTATATAAAAAATTTTATAAAATAAAAAGAGATTTTATTTTTTCAATAATTTGTATAATATTTTCAAAACTTGTTTAAATTGATTTTTTCATTGATATGTACTATGTATTTGTAGAATACAGAATAGTTAAAAGTTTAAATCATAGTTACAATATTATATTTTTTAATGTTTTATAAAAAGAAATCATTTAAAAAAATTGATTAAGAATTATATTATATATAACCAGTCTATGCAATGTATGGCACAAGAGTCTTCTAGCTCAGGCGGTTGGCAGGTGTCTCTATAATGACCATTTAGTACACCAAAAAGTAAAGAAATAAGGTTGCGTTTCGTTTGCCTAATCTGATTTTCTAGAAGATCTTATCTGATCTGATCTGATTGCAATTATAATTAAAGATGTTTCTAATCTAATCTGATTATAATAAAAATAAGTAATAAGCAGAAAAAATAAGTTGAACGAAACGCTGTCTAAGAGCTAAACTTCGAGTAAAAGTCGAGTAGTGGAACCCGAAGTATATACTTGGACAAAGTACTTGAATAAGTGGAGACGGTGTACCACCAAATACTCCAATATACTCGAAAGTACTAAGAGCCATTAGAGTATTGTGTCCCCTCATCCCTAACGAGTATCAAATTTATACAAATATTGTTCACCACACATTAATTAATCTTTTTATCTATATCAAAATTGTGTGGTTGAGATGCACTAGGATACAGTTGGTGTAAATTTTTTGGGTATGCCTAATATTTTTAATAAGACAAACAACTAAATGTGAATTTCAACAAAGTGTGTCTACTAGAGTTTCTCTTAGCCCCTCTCATTTTTATTATTGAAATGTGAATGTCAAATAGAATAAGTTCTTGACATGAGTTCATGTAATAGAGATCACTCTATTTTCTTTACATATTAAAATTACACAGAAAATTATAATATTTTAACATCTTTATCTATTGAATGCTTCTTCAAGGGTGTGTTTGGAAGGAGGAAAATTGGAGGGAGGAGAGATAATGAAGAGGAAGATGATACTAGTTTCACGATATCATTTTAGGGTCATGCTAGGGTGCCACCACATGGGTGCTACCATGGGTGCACCCATGCTTCACAGAGACAAACACAGACCATAATTGTCTGTGCGACACAGACAATTATCGTCTGTGCGACACAGAGAATTATCGTGTGTGTTTGTCTGTGTGAAGTATGGGTGAACCCATGATAGCACCTATGTGGTGGCACCCTAGCATTACTTATCATTTTATTCTCCCTTATATCATTTTCTCCAAATTGGTGTAAAATAGAGGAAGATGATACTAGCTTCCCTAGCTACTTTTGCATTGAAAATATATTTTATCCCTTATTTTTTCATTAAATTCAAACAAAAAGATATTAATTGTCCATTATCAAATCTTAGAAAATAGCTAAGAGTGAAAAAAAGTAAAAAAAATTACTAATATACTTTGAAAATGGTCCGTTCCTCAAGATTTTCTCGTTTTAATTTATTTATGATCTTTAAGGAGAGCTTAAAAAAAGTTAAAATTTACAAATATTTCCTTAATGAAAATGGATTAAATTATTAAATGAATTGATTGTAGTGTAATAAATAAAATAAGTGAGAATAGTTATGAATTATGATATTCTAAATTCTCCTATTTACAATAGCAGCAGGAAAAAAATCCCGCCTAAAGTTTTGGGCCGATTTTCTATGCTATTGGGCCACTTGGGTCGAATAAACATGGTGAAGGTTGCTGCGATTTTTGGCCCGTAAAATTGGCAAGGTTACACGATCTCAGCACTCAACCGTTCAGGCACGATCTCTAAACTCACAATCACTAGACGCTACCATCTCACCCCCAATTCCATCTCTCTTTTTCTATCAAACCTGTGAGCTATGTTCTCGGCCGTGCAACACAGGCTGATTTTGCGTCAGATCCTCTTCATGCGTTGAGCCTAGGGTAGATCTATAGCGCTAGAAGGGAGACAACAGTGATAAAGGGTGATGCAGGGACGACGAATGACAGCACCAGGCTAGGGTTTCGACCATTAAATTCAGAAAACAACTCCTATGCTTCGTGCATCATAGATCGGAGTAAACAGAGAGGGATACTGAATTGACCAGAATGAAACAGAAAAGACCGAGAGAACTATGAGAACATTGCCTTTTAATGAAGAGGTACATGTTGAGGTCATGATGAGGTTTCAAATTTATCTTCTTTCCTTCCATAATCCTATATATCTCTATATCAATTTTATCTTTATTTTATCAGTTTTGTAGTTTCTTCTAAAAAACAAGTCTAGATTTTGTTTAGACCCATTTTACAAATTAAACCCCAATCCATCTGTTTTGTTTTGATTTTTTTATTTCTCAGCAAATCCACGGAAAGCCTTCGAGCTTTTGATTTCTTTGTATTTCTTTGATTTTTTTAATGTCAAAGTCAGTATCATGAGTTAGTGTCAAAGTAGGATGTGTCTCCATTATTAGGATTAAAAACATAAAATATGATTTACAAATTATTCTTACAAAACCACACCATGAAATTAGAGATATAGTTGAGGGAATTCCACCGCTAATCCACATAAGTGCGTCGCTAAACAACCTAAACTTCAGGGCTAATTCCAAGTTAGTCAACTTCAAAAAAGAAGCAAAAAATATTATTATAGAGTGGGGTGGTTATACATATTGCTAGCTTTTTTCTATATTTTTGTTTTAGATATGTTGTAGGAAATGGATTCTATAGGTGGTTACATAGAAAATGTCTTACAGATATGAGGTTAGAAAATTCCAAATCATATTCTTTTCATGTTTATTTCATTAGTGTTTGGTGGCATGAAGCAAGAGAAAGAAGAAAACCCTATCCCAAGCGCCCAACAATGTCCAAGAAGCTGCATAAAAAAACCATCAAGGCCTAGAGAAGAAGACTATGTATCTTGATGAAGATGATGATTGGAGAAGATGAAGGTGATAGGGAGGTATATTTATTATTTTCCACACCAATCAATAGGTTTTGTTTCAATTTTTTTGTATTGAGATTGTGATATATTTCATGTCAAATTGGGTAATATGATTCTAGGAACCAATATTTGTATCAATCTTCACAAAGAATGTTTACCCAATTTTGAACACATTTCTTAATTTTTTTCTCTAAAATACTGATTGTAATTATGGGAATTACTTTATTCTAAGTAGTGTTCAATATTTTCATTCATCAAGCACAGTGAGTCATATTCAATTATTTGTTCAACTCTAAGCTTATATTTCTCTTTTACAAATTTTGAGATTTCGAAATTCAAGTTGTGTCATTGCCTTCATATCTTATAATCCTTAAAATTAAAATATATATAAAATTCATATTGGATATTCTAAAGCAATATTCAAGTAAAAAGAATATATATTTGGTGTGCAGGAATATGATGACTTTCTTTTTTTCACCACTCAGAAGAAGAATGTGGTAAACTTTGATTCATGGCAACAACTATGCAAGGCTCAACGATTTATCTCATTTGGTATTGATCATTCTATGTTTAATCTTATGTAAACTGCTAGCCCTTTCTACTTATATCTTTTGTTGCTTTAGTGAGTTTAAGGTAGGGTAAGTGAATGCATGATTCACTAGAGATGGCAACCTTGGGCAAGGGCTTGGGCCATGCTATGTCAATGTACCAAAGTGACTCACTAGCAGGTCTCAAAGATCAGGGATGGGAGAGCTTGGACCATGCTTGTGTTGGAAGTATAATGAGAAAATTAGTGAAATCGTGCAACGGTCTCTTCAATTTAATTTAGCTGATCAGAGAGCTTTAAAAGTATAAATTCGATTACCATGCTCAATTGTCTGACCCTCAACCAAAAACAGGTCTATTTTACTTTTGCAAGTGCACATTGACATATGCTCTTGAATGTGTGGGATAACAGTTCTCTCACATTCCTTCTGGACATATTTCTTCATCAAAGAGAAGGATTTGATCGATTCCTTCATATTTGAGAATATATTCTAGGCGAGGACACTGATCGGGTTCTCGACACGGAGATAGCAACCCTCCGCAAGGCCTTAGACCATGCTATGTCGATGTACCAAACTGATTCACCAGAGGTCTCAAAGATTTAGGGCACGAAGAACAAGCCTATGCCATTGAGGAATTCAAGAAAGAGTAATGTCATATGTATATGACATTACTGCATGAAAGTGAGAATGATGAAGCAACTTGGTGAAGTTGATGATGATGGTGAGGACGAGCATGAACGTGCAAAGCTGGTGTCTCTCAGCATTCTGAGCCTCAAGGAAGCAGAGTGACAGCTTTCAAAGAAAGCGATACAGAAGAAGGAAGTTGCAGAACTGGAAGCAATTTTGGTTGATTTTGGTGTTGCTTGCCGACTTCCGGTGTGCCTTACCATCATCTGACGTTAGCCTTTTGCCTTTTGGCAAGGGTGTTTGTTAGTTTATGCACACCCTCAACAGAATTTTGTATCTCTTCTTGGCAAATTGTAATGACCCATACCACTAACGGATTGAAATACCATTTAAATTTTTTTTGGGTGAAGTTGATCATTTATAATTGTCCATCTTAATTTAAAATATTTATTTACGGTCTGACCGAAGTTATTTTTAAATTAATTTGTTTAAAAATTAAAGAATGAAGTACAAATTTTTAAAAACTATATTAAATGTCTTACAAAATAAAGCTGAAAATACTCCTGAGTATATTATTTTTCAAATAGGTAGCGAAAATGGGTATAAAACGTATTTAAATTTAACTAAGTGAATAGTAAATATATTCTTAGAAATACTATATTGGGTCTTGAAAACAATCTCATACTTCATTTTTTTTATTCCAAAATGTTCCTTAAAAATGTATTCATTTTTACTCTTAAATTTAGCACATACATGAAAATATAATGATGACAAATAAATACTCCGTATTAAAGAATACTATTCAAAAGATCATATTAAAAAGGTTTCGGATAAAAAAATATCTTGGAAAATATTTAGTGATTCCATTAGGAATTCAAAATTTATTTTTATGAAATGCAAGAATTCTAAAAATAAATATTGCAAGTTTATTTTAAACTTTGAGAATTTATTTGCATAAACATAAACTCACTTTAATTTGAGTTAAAGTGAGTTTAGGCAGAAGTAAGTTTATGTGATCGAGTTTAAAATTTTGATCGTGCATCGCACGGGTAAAAGAGATTATAAGATATTAAGATTGAAAAATTGAGAGATTAATAAGAATTAAGAAATTGAGAGAAAGAGATGGATTGAGTATTTGAGAATTGAGATTTTGAGTTTGAGTGTGATATTTTATGAAAAAAAAGAGGTATTTATAATGAAAAATTTGGCTCCCCTTCCCCCAAGTCCTCATCCCCCCTCCCTCTAACGGCTCAAAGGCCGTTGAGGTCGCCCCCCACTGACTTTTCTTTTTTTTTTTGCAGGTTACCGTTTGCAGGAGCAAAAAAAAAAAATTACAAACCGGCACCGGCACCGGTGCCGGTGACGAAAATTGGGAACCGGAGACGGTACTGGTACCGGTTCCAGGAACCGGTTGGTCATCTCCGGTGTCGGTAACGGTACTCGGTACCGGCGGTACCGTGTCCAGGCCTAATTGGGAAGATTGTTAAAGAGACTATTGAAGGAAATAAACTCTATCAGGTTTTCTTATCTTGCAAAAGAATATCTATCATCTCTGCTGAAAATAAATTAACCGATGAATGCATATGTTCATTTTGCTGACATTTTTGTAATATGCCTTTGCTTACTGTAAATATCTTCTATTCTGATCTACTCAATGTGGAATAGGATGCTGTTACGGAACCAGAATTCGTTCCTTGGCTTGCACGCACACTGGAAGGCCGAATCCTTTGAGGATTTGGTTTAAGTGATTTCCTAGTTTATTTTGGTCTTGTACTCTGTGTTTTCTAGTTTACTGGTTTCCTTCTAGGATTTGGATTCTTGGCTTATAAATAGGGTAGGAGTTTTCTGTATTCAACACAACCCTTGGAGAAATAAACAAAATGCTTCACAATACTTTTATCATGGTATCAGAGCAAATCTTCTGAGACCTGTGTCGACTTAATTTTCTCGGCCAACGAGCACCACCTGCATCTTCCGATCAACAGACATGGCGGACGAGAAGGTCGAGAAAACTGAAAAACCTGTTTCACGAGTTTTCAGTGAAGAGGAAGAAATCGGAGAAAAGCAAGTCACAAAGATAAGTCCATATGAGCTGAGATCTTCGGATACTCCTGCTCTCGTCATCACCCAGATTAAATTAACTGGAGATAACTATGAAGAATGGGCCCGGGCGGTGCGAATAGCTCTCCGAGCCAAAAGGAAGTTTGGATTCATTGACGGATCCATTCCTCTCCCAGAAGAAGACG